AGTGTCCCCAGTGGCGGAACAGGAATCTGTGGGAGGGGAGAGGGAGGCCTCCGAGTGCAGGAAGGGGTGTTAGGAGTGGCCTGAGGGGAGTTGGGGTAGGTGGACCCAGAAGGAGGACTAGAAGGGAGTGAGGGGCAGCCTTTCACAGGGTCAGGGACTCCAAGGACTGGGGAGATTTCATGGAGGGGTCTTGTAAGGATGTTGGGCAGCAGGAGAGCTGGGCAGGGCTGGGGATGACTGAGCACCCAAGGGTCCCAGGGTGGGGAGTAGGTTGACACGTTTGCTGAGGCAGAGGGGTCCATGACACACTCATTGAAGTTGTGTAGGTCATTGAGAAGGATGAGCCCGATGTACAGCCAGCCCAGGGAGAGGAGGACGGTGAAGAAGAGCAGGCCAAACCAGATACATTCGCACTATAAAGGGGCAGGAGAGAAGCTCACAGCTGATTCCCACTTCCCGCTCAGAGTCCCCAGCCATTGGCAACACACGGGGACTTCCTGCCAGGCGTTGGGCTGCTCTGCAGGCAGCCCTTTTCATATTTGAGAGAGATTTCCTTCTTGGGGAGAGAAAGCCCCTTTCCCCACCAGCTGCCTCTGAGTGCAGTGGCTTCCTTGGCCTCCTTTTCCCCTTCAAGAGGCCTTTGCTTTGGACTTCCGCCCCCCCTCATCCCTACTCCACCTGGCTGGTTTTCATCCTCTCTTTGGGGCATTTCCTCCAGTGGCAGCTATACAGGCAGTGGATGCCCAGGGCCCAGACGGAGCAGCAGTTGGGGGACTCGGCCATGGTGAGGGCCTGGGGGAAAAAGTCCCAGCCTTCCTCCCAGTGTATCTGAGGAGCCTGGGGGAGAAGCAGAGGCCTGGGCTGCCGCCCAGCAATGGAGGTCAGAGGGCAGGCCCTGCATGCCAGAGTGGATGAGGAGGGGAGCAAAGGGGGACAATCTCCAGGGTCTTTCCCTTTAGTCTGGATACCCAGTCAGTCAGTGGGATACCTGTGAGGTCCAGCCTGTTTGCCCGCAGGATGAACACCCAATCTCTCCTACTTAACAGCATGTCCATTTAACAGGAGAAACTGCCTGGGGTGGGGCAAATTCAGTTCAGCAAGTTTTGGCAGATCAAACAAAGCTTCAGGCAGCCCCAGAATGAGGAGCTTTCCACCCCAGGAATCAGGAGTAACCTAAAGCAGAAGTTCTAGTTCTGTCCTGGGGCTAAAGGGAGGCCTAGCTAGTTGGCCAGTTGCTATGGATACAGATTGCACACATCACAAAGCCCTGACTGAAAGATCCTCTGTCTCCACCTTCCAGGGGGGTCATGGCCAATAAGAGGAAGCCAGGGGAACAGGCAGCCTGGGTCACTTCCAGCCTTCTTAAGGGGATCTTTTCCTGTCCACACACACCTAGAAAATTTGAGCCCTCTACCCCCAGTCCTATCACTTCCTGCCCAGTCATCCCTTCCCGCCCCCCACTCCAGCCAGCCAGGAAACCAGTCTCCACCTCCCTACTTTCAGGGGCCCCACCCTCTGAGGTCCTTTAGGTGAAAGTACAACAAATACAGGGCAAAGGTTAGAGGGGGGGGTGTCCTGGGGCAGGCGATCCCTGTACCTTGTGCTTTTTGTTCAGGCTGAGACTGAGCTGGCTTACTGATCTCAAAGGAGACTGGGTGTGTGATGGTTTCTCCAGAAGAGGAGGTGCAATTTGTGTCAGCACTTGTATCTGCATGTGCACTAGTGGCTGACAGTACAAATGGGCTTGTTGATGACTTTGGGTGTGTAAAGGAGCTCCTGAATACACCCAAAGTGTGTGTGGTCTATGGGACACAACCCCTTGTCATTTGGGCTCTCCTGAGGCTGGGAGTCTTAGAGGGATGCACAATGGCTGGGCCCCTGAAAGGAGGGAGGGTGTGGCTGCTCCCGAAACTGCCCTCCTAACACTATGCTTGCCTTGGGAAAGGAGGCTAGGGTAGGGTGAGAAGGGGTAGGGGCCTGGGGCTGGGGGAAGAAAACCTCTCCATTCCTCAAGCCCCCTCCCAGGAAAAAGTCATCCCAAAGGGAGGCCCTGCCTCTTCCCACCCTGGGACTGGGTTGTGGTAGCCTGCCCTGGGCTCCTTCAGCAAATCCTGCCTCCCCTCAGGTCCTACCCCTGTACCCCAGGCACTGCCTGCCAGAGTCCCACCTCCCTCCAGGAGCTGCTTGGAGGATGGGGTCAGGTCTGAGCACCCCGAAAACCCCAGTCAAAGGAGTTGAGCAGTAGTGCTGCCCAATCCCTGCTGGTTGGAGCCAGCCTCCACCCACTGCTCCCAACTGTAGCCCCCAGCCTTCCCGGGCCCTCACACCTTTTCTCAGTGGCGGCTCTGCTCTCCTGCTCTGCGCGGCACTGCTTCCCAGCTCCTCTCCGAGTTGTCTGCCTCCTCCCTCTTGCAGTCCACGGCTCAGCCCCACAGGTCAAACAGGTGGCACTGTTGCCACCTACAGGAGGATGTGTGGGTCCTCTCTGAAGGCCTGCAGCTGCTCTCTGGCCTGTGCCCAGTCCGGGTGGAAAATGGGAGGAAGGAAGAGGGAGGGAGAGCAGATCTGCTTCTTTACTTGCTTTACTCGCTGCTGCTGGTCAGGGGGCTTTGGGGTGAGGAATTCCTTTGTGCAGCCTTCCCATCACTCTGTCCCTCCTCCTGCTCCCCTCAGTCACTGCTGGGGCTTTGTCCTGGCTCAGGGAGGCGAGGGCTGAGGGCACTGGTAGGCGGGAGAGAAGCTGGGGGAGGTGACCACACAACTTTGCAACTTGGCAGAGGAGAAGGGGCCCAGCTAGCCCCCTGGGACGGGGTGTGTGTGAGGGAGTCCAGCATTTGGTCTCAAGCTTCATGGGAGGATAGCCTTGGTTCATCAGCCTCCCTTCCCTCTTGGGAGTCTATTTCCACTTATGCAAAATGCATCTAGAAGAATTACAAGCTACTTCCTGATATCTGGGCAGCAGGACACCCTGTTCCTAGGCCAGGGGTCTCCATGGGCTGTGTGGTTCCTATCCACGACCCCAGACAGGATATGCTCATTCAGGATGGCTGAGACTTGCATCATTCCAGCTGCTTTATCTCCAAGGTATTTAAATTCTCCTTCCAAAAATCATTTGAGGAGTGTAGGGTGCTAGGGTCACAGTATTGTGAAAGATGAACATAAGAAATGTTCAAACTTGTAGAGAAATTTTATGAGTTTTTTTGAGCCAAAACTGAAAATTGCCAGGAAGCAAAATCTCAAGGGATTGAGAAAATCCTCCAGAGAATGGCAGTTTTACAGCCTATTTTATACACTAGAATCAAAGGAGACATAGAGGGTTTCATGAAATCCACTGGTGGTAGATCAATGGGTCAGGATATAGCAAAGCAGGGAAATCTCTGAGATTGGATAAAGAGTGAAATGGGGAAACTCATACATCTTTTACACTGGGGGGTACAGGATAGTTAGCATTTACAACACAAAGAGATGGCATGTGGGGAACAACATAATAATGAGGGGTTCATAGTTTCTGCTCTGGTGTGCCCTGAGGGTTCTGGAGGAGATCACTCTGGCATTGCAGGGGTATGTTATTAGATGCAAAAAGACAATATACAGGCTCACTTAGGGTAAAGACTGAACTATGTCAAAGAAGATATACAGGCCTAGGATGTGACTGCCGGTCATGAACTGCTCTTAGTTAGGAATTGTTATGTGGTTATTTTCCTACAGACCATCCTATGTGGTTACTTTCTGTCTCTGGGTCTGTAAGGCCACCACGTAGGCCTCCCTTGAGCTTGTCAGGTTTAACATGTGGCCCCTTTTTTGTCCACAGCATATAAAAGATGCTGTTACTACATCAGCAGAGAGGGCTGGCTAACACTTGTAGTCAGCTTAGCGCTAAAGCACAGGGCTCAGGGTGGGACTGGGCTGGGGGCTGCCCTGACGGACCTTCCCTCTACCTTTTGGCTGGTGCGATGGCTGAAAGCCTGTGGGCTAACGCAGTGTTAGTGGGAAAGGATGCCTCTCTGGAGATAGCTCGGTTACCCATCCCCCCACACACACTGGGTTTGGAACAGTGAGAAGGAAGACTGGCTCTCTTATGCCAGGAGACAGCCCCCCTCCCTCTCTGCCTTCCCATTGTATCCAGGGGCTCTAGTTGGCAATGGCAGAGGCTCTCTTGCTCCATGGACATTAAAATGCAAAGAGAAGCAGGGCTGCTTGCTGGCAGGAGGCCAGAGAGGGCTGCAGGGCACCTAGTCCTCCTGCAGGCTTCATTCTCAGCAGGTCATCCTTCACTTTTCTTTGCTTGGTGCTGGCGGATTCTAGGAGTCTGGGCTTTCATGTGCGGAGTTTGGGCGGGGGGGGGTGTTACTTTGGGAGCTTTTATTGGGGAGTGGGCTGGGATTCAGAATGCATGGATATGAGAGGCCCAGGGTTTGCAAACTCTTCAGAAGTCTGCAAGGCCCGTCAGCAACCTATTTGACATTCCAGGGCTGGCCCCTGGTAGCTTTAAGCAGAAATGGAGAATTCTGATGCCCAGAAAGGAGTAAGCCACGGCCCTCTGCTCCCCTTTCAAAGGAGAAAGCAGACAGCAGTGTGGCCCCATGCCCAGCAAGAGGTCAGGCTACAGGGCTTTAGGGATGGTCACCTCTGCCACTCTAGTCACATAAGTTTTGGTGTTCGACCTGGGTTCAAGTCCTGGCTCTATTACCCATAACTTTGTGACTTCACATAGAACTGTGGCAGGTGAACGGAGATGTAAATTTGGCCCCTTCCTGGTAAATCTCGAGGCCAGGTAGGCTGTATAGTGGAGGTCAGGCCACTGGCCTTAATAGTGTTATTCCAATTTCCTGCGGTAGCAGAGCGACAGAAAGAAATCACATGCTGCTCCATATTCCCCTCAGGGGGACAGGGGCGATGACAAGGCAGTGGGGCCTGGGTACTTATATGGCGTTGCCAGGGGCTGAGGAACAAGGTTGAAAGCATAGCACAGAAAGATCTTTCCAAATAGTAGAAGCACTAAGCTTTATTTCTTTCTTTATTTTTAAAAACATTAACATTTTTAAAGATTTCATTTACCTCCCACCTAGGGCAGGCTCTGTCATTAAGCTGACACAACCTAGAGATAAGACAGCCTTGGCCTCATCTGCATTGGGAGACAGCCTGAACTGCTGGCAAATCAGAAAGAGCTCCATTGTACTGGAGACTGGTTCCCGAAGAGTCAGCAGGAAGGTCAGCTGGGTCTCTCTTCAGCAGGCAACTTAGCACCCTTCTGGAGAAGAGAGAGTAATAGTCTGGGGCTGAAGGTCTGGAGACTGAGGGCCAACATCCAACAAAAGTTCCTTCCCTTTCAGTAACACGCTGTCCCTTTGATCAACAGCAAGAAACCTGAAATCTAGAGGAGTCATTAAAAAAAACACCTCTGGCTGCAACCGGAAGACGTCTTGCAAGCCAGACTGGGGCAGAGATGAAGAGTCCAACTTCAGGGGGCCTCTTCTTCAATAGGGGAGCAGCCAGAGAAGAAGCTGACATTGCTGGCCAGAGCTCGTTTCTTTTTCTTCCCTGGAGCTTTATTTTCTTGAGATTCTGTGGCTACATGTTTCAACTCTTGGAGACCAAAGGAGGAGGCATCTGGAGCAGTCTTTAACAGAACCTGCTCCACCTCACACATCTCTTTCAGGATCTAGGAAGGACAAAAACATGCATGACTACATCCCAGGTGGGGGCAGAGGCTCAGCTCAGCTTAGCCTCTACGAATGCCCAGTACGTTCCCAATAGTACGAGGCGTCCTGTAAGATTGCTCTGCAGGAAGAAAGACTCTAGCCTATGCTCCATTCCTAGTTCCCAACAAGAAGACTGTCCCTTTCCCCCTCCCCGCACCGCTCTCTGTCAGAGCTAAGACAGAGATGGAAAGATACTACAGCTGGAAATGCCTGCCTTTTAGCCTACTTACCTTGCTGTTTGGAGTGGCACAGATGGGGTTGAAGAAGTTCAATCCGGGGGTCACCTCTGTGGGATCCTCCAGTTTAAAGGAGCCTTCAGAATCCTGGGTCTGCTCAACAGTGCCCAAGCTATCCTGAGAATCAAGCAGATAGGCTATTAGAAATTCAGTTCCTAGGGTTACAGAATCACTGCTCCCCTTCAACCAGTGAGACATCAGCTTGAAGGGCCTCATCAAAGTCTAAGCAAGTCTCAGGGAGACTCTGCTTGGGGGAGGTTGAGGTGCTTCACGGCAGCTTCTGAAGGTAAAGGGCTAGGTTGTATAGTGGCACAGGACACATCACGAGGCAAGGTTTAAAGAAGACCAAGCCTTGGTCATTTCTTTGATTAACTTTCCCTTTTTCCAATCTATAATATCCTTTTTAGCACCTCTACAGGGTATTGTATTAATCTTTTTTTCAGAAAAGGAAACTGAGGCCAAGAGAAAGTTACTTAGGTAACAAGCTTTGATTGGAATTATTACCTGTTGTTATTAATAAAGAACTGGATTAAGAGTCAGAAAGCATAAGGTCTAATTTTTTTTACAAGTCTAAAAAATTTAAAATTTTATTAAATTTATTGGGGTGACATTGGTTAATAAAATTATAGGTTTCAAGTGTTCATTTCTATGATACATGGTCAGTATACTGCATTGTGTGCCCACCACCCCAAATCAAGTCTCTTTCCGTCACCATATATTTGACCCCCTTCCCCTTTTACTACCTTCCCTACCCCCTTCCCTCTGGTAACTACCATACTGCTGTCTGTGTCTAAGAGTTTTTGTCTGTTCATTTGTTGCTTTCAGTTCTATATCCCACATATGAGTGAAATCATATAATTCTTGATTTTTTCTGTCTGACTCATTTCACTTAACTACAAGAATAGACTCCTTAGGTCCCTGCAACATTTACAATTGTTAGCCTAACCTCTACCCTGCCATTTTAATCCTCTAATGACTGCCTACCTTAGAAGTATTTTTAATAGAAAACCCAGGACAAAACTGCTCACGTGTAGATGTTCAAGAAATGCATGATGAATGATCATCAGACAAAGCTTGCTAAAATTATTGTTTATCACACACAGAGCTGTTGGAATGAGCTTTTGCCATGGGCACAGGTAGGCGGAGGCCAAGTTTGTGGACCTGATGTGCTTGGTGCTGCCTTTCTCAGCACACATTTTGTTTCCCTGAAATTGCTATTCCTGGAAGGAGGACAGCTACAATTACCTTGGCTCACAACAGTGACTATTAGAAAGACCAAGTTCCTGTGGGTCTTTTCCTAGAGCCAGGGAATAGCTGGTTCCCATGGAGAGGGCTAAGTAACTAATGTCTCAAGATGTTAGGATTAACTTCCTTCCTGGAAGTTGCCACCTCAGCACGTGGTCCTAACAGTTCCAGCTAAGCCTCTGGATTAGCCTGTTCCTGCATGTCTATATGCCTGTAATTGCCTACTTTCCTGTTCCTTGTTTCTGCCTCAGAAACTGTACAGAAACTTTATAGCCAAGGCGGTGAATGGGGAGCTCATACCTGGGAATCTTCTGGGAAGGGCTGTGGCTTCTGAAGGGGATGTGTGGACAGGCTAGCAGTGAGGAAGAAGGATTAAGTGAACTGTGTCTGTTTCTGATTGCAGAGGGAAGGAGAAGGGTGAGAAGAGCTGTGCAGGAGATTCCAGGTTTCATGAAGAAAAGGGCGGAAACTAGTGGGGAACATAAAGGGCAACAGCACTGATCCTACCTTGTCTTGCTGACGGTTCCTACACTTTGTGGGGTCACAGCTGCAGTCCACACCACAGTTCGACTTCTGTCTCCTACACCCACACTGCTTATTCCCACACCAGCCCTTGCAGGAACACTGCAAAACAAGTTTGTAGAAAGACTCATTACTGACAGGGTTAGATGACTAGTTTAAAAGGCCTTCTCTTCATTTGCAAGCCTTTCTGAAAAGATGGAAAGAACCATCAACTTTACCAAGCTTCTGTCTCCTCAGTCCTCTCTTGTTAATCCTCACCCGAAGATATTTTTTTCCACTGATTATTTTTTTAGACAGAGTGGAAGGGAGTGGGGAAGAGGGAAGGAAGGGGGGGGCAGGGGATAAAAGCACATCGATTGGTTGCCTTCCACATGTGCTATGTGCTGTGGGGCTAGGGATCAAACCTGCAACCCAGGTACATGCCCTTGACCTGGAATCAGACCCGAAACTCTTCGGTGCACAGGCCAACACTCTAACCACTTAGAAACACTGCCCAGGGCTCCTCAGTCCTCTCTTTAGTGAAACAATGATCAACCTGAACGGCCATGGGTTTACTAAGAACAAGTCAAGCCAGACAAATCCGTTTATTTGGGGATAGAACACTTGAAAGACAAATCAGAGGGATATTATTGGCAGGGCAACTGAAAGAGACTCCCATGATCATTTTATGGGAAAGTGAAGAACTGTGAGCTGGATGGTAGTGGAGTTAGGTATAGTATATTTAAGGACTAAGCACAGTTGCTTGATATCTTTAGATCTACCTAACTATACTTCATCCAGTTCATTTTCTACAGTTTGTTCAGTGTCAGCCTGGGCTTTGTCCTCAGCACTTTAATCATTCAGCAGTTTAATGAATCACTGATGATATGAAATAAGATCATTTACATTTGCATAGCACTTTACAGTTTTCAGGGTACTTTCATATAGTATACAAATACAAAAATCTCATTTGAATCTCATAATTGGTCTACAAGGTAGGCATATTAATCTGCTGCAACAACACAAAGCTGGAAGGATGATTAATATGTAAGATAACAGAATCATAATTCAAAAATATTTGGACAGGCTGAAATTATGGGCCAAAAGTAAAAGAAAAGTTATACAGGGATCAATTTAAGTCTGGCATTCAGGTTCTCCCCTAATCAGTCATATAAATATAATATAGGGGAAAGACCTGGCTTAAAAGTAGTTTTTGCACAAAAGGCCTAGGGATTTGAGATATCATGAAGTTCCACGAGTCCAAAGTGTGAAATGCATGTCAAAAAGCAAATACAGTCAGACAGAAGTTTGGAGTTCAGAAATCAAGGGGAGCAACTGCTTCCAGACCCCATTTGAAGCAGTCTGTCCCATTAAACAAAACAGAGACGGGTGAGCAGTATTATAGGAAGTGACGCCATAAGAGAAATGGTGGGAGAAACTGGGATAGTTTGGCTTGGAACAAGTCGCAGAGCTAACAGGGTTATGGATGAGTCGGAAGAGACCTCAGGGACCATCTAAAGCCTGATGTGATGTTTGAAGCACCTCTCTAATATCTCTGGTCTAATTATCCAAAATTATATTTATTATGAGATTATAACATTTTATGTATAACATTTGACCACAGGACACAATTCTGTCATCTGGAATGACATGAAATCAGTTTAACCCCACCTTCACAGCACAGGTGCTCAAACCCTGAGCATAATTTTCCCTTCCCAGTGCCCCCTGTCCAATCCTCTCAAAGCTAAATATACCTAGATCCCTCAATGATTCACCACATGATATGGTTTCCAAGAATCCTCACCATCTTAACTACATACCAATTTGTTCAAGTTCATCTTTAACTGTGACATCCAGAAATGAGCATAACTTTCTAGATGTGTGACCACTGTGAAGTAGATTGACACAGACACCTCCCTTGTTATAGAACCAACAGTCTTGTTAATGAGGTCTAAAATCACAGTAGCTTCCCCTGCCCTTGTTATGTCTGTGGATTCATACTGGGTTTACAGTTAAATTCAAGCCCTTATATCTCTTTCTTATGACAACTATATCATTATTCTGTAGTTGTAAAGGTAAAAGAAACCAAAATAACATCGTTTTGATTATGAGAATAATATATATCACTTTATAAAATTTGAAAATCAAAACCATGATTTTCAATATTTAATAGTTGTACATAGTATTTCATTATGTGAAAATATCAATTTATTAAACCAGACCCCTACGTTAGGTATTAAGACTGTTTTGTAAGAAATTGTTTGCTATTATAAATCATGTTACAACAAATATCCTGGTACATAAATATAACCCAAATGTTATCATGATTGACAAGGCCCTCCATGATGTGGCCCCTGACTACCCCTCTGATGTGACCTTGTACTACTCTCTCCCACGTCTCAATACACTCTAGCCACACTGGTCTTTTCAGCTGCTCCTTCACAAACCAAGTTCATCCTGCCCAGAGATCTTTGCATTTGCCATTTCTTTTTCCTATAATGTTCTTCCTCTGATTCTTTTCCTGACTTGCTCCTTCACTTTGTTCAGCTCTCAGCTTAAATATCTCCTCCTTGGAGAGGCCTCTCCAAAGCCCTCTTCTGAAGTACTCTTTTCCTATCCCATCTGTGACTTCACTATATTTTCTTATCTCTTATCATCTAAAATGATTTTGTTTTTCTAGTTACTGTGTCTCTATCTCCACAACTGTCTTTCTTCAGTTTCATGAGGTCAAGGATCTTACCTGTCTCATATGCTGTATCAGTGTCTGATACTTAGATCCTCAAAAAAGACTTGTTGAGAGAATAAATATTTTTATACACCAATAACTGTTTCTTTAGTATAAATTCTTATGTGTATAATTACTGGGCCAAAAGATAGGAACATTTTGATATGTATTTTCAAGGTGCCTTATAGAAAGGTATACCAATTTTACATTCCTAATAGCAATAGACAGGAATTGTCATCTTAGTCATATTTGCCAACACTGGACATTAAAATAAAAAAATCTTTGCTTCTTTGAATAAGACAGGGCAAAAGACAGAATTCTATGACATGTCCTAGAGATATCTCACCAGGATGACATTGATCCATTGATTGCTATAGGCTGGGTATGGTCCTCCGACCATTTACAAATTCATCTATATGCCTCAAAAAACACCCTGGTACCCTGTCTATGTGTCTCTATTTTATGCAAAGAGATAATAGTATGAGAGAGGTATCTGAAAGGCTGTCATAAGTAAGAACAATTAGATTTTTATATAGCCAAGACCCATGGGGATTATTTTAGCTTAACAAGGAACAACTTTCTAACAGTTATGGAACACAATGGGCTGCCCTGTGAGATTCCCCACTACCAGAAGTTTTCAAGCAAGCAGAGGCTAGAAATACACCTGGTAGTGGTATTATAGAATAGTCATGACACATGTGACAGATGTATTCACATGAATGCCATATGCGCTAGGTACAACTTCATTTTATTCTTTCTCACACCAGGACAAGATTAGAATGCAAGAGAGGGAGCATGACCTTGCCAAAGACATAACCTCAATTATATAGGTATGTGGTGTGTGTGTACAGATGTGTGTATCACAACTGTTGGCAACCCACCCAGCATGTCCCAACATCATAGCTGAGAAGCACTATAATAGGGGGATTCTTTATATAGAGTGGGAAATAGAGCTGAAAGGAACCTCTGAGGTTCCTTTAAGCCAGTAGTTTTCAACCCTGATTACACATAGGAAATTTCTGGTGAGCTTTTCAGAAAGGCCAGGTCCCACCTCAGACCAATTAAATCAGAATATCGGGGTGTGGGGTCCCCAGCTTCCATGTTTCAAAGCTCTTTTGGGGATTCTAATGTGCAGACAGACTTGAGAACTATTGCTTTAGAGTCTATAATTCTTCTAGCATTGATTTCAGTGTTGTATTGTATCTCAGAATGATAAGATCTGGTAAAAATTTTAACAAAGAATACCAGACTAGGAATTAGGAAACTTGGGCTCTAGTCCTATATTTAATTCTTGGCATGACCTTGGACAAGTCACTTCATCCAAGTTCATCTCCATTCTTTCATCACTAAGATAGAGAAAAGAATAACTGCTTCCTCTTTTCTGCCAAAGGAGACAAATAAGAGTATTTGTAAAATGCTTACTATGCTTTAATAATACCTAAATAATATTTTATCTGTCACAGGTGCTTTTGCATACCTTCCTTCTTTTTAACTTTTCAGATTACCATACACCACCATATAAAGGCAGAATTATTAAAACCCATTTATACAACTTTGTTATTCTGACTCAGGATATTGGTGCTGGAAGGGATATTATACATCTGTTCTAATCAAATCCCTTCATTACAGAGATGAAGAATCTGAGGCCTAGGGAGATTAAGTGACTTGCTTATGGTCATCTAACTCACCAGTACCAAACTCAAGACTAGAACTCATGTCTATATGGCTCCTAAGCTACTACTTTTTTAAAACTATAGCACATGACTATCCCTCAGCATGTTCTTAGTACACTAAGAAAACATGGCTGAGTGAGGAAGTCAAACTTTTCAGCAGTAGCTTTGGACAAATCATCATTTTGGTGCCTTGCTGCAGTCTCCCTTGCAGTAACCTAATGATAATACCAGCCTGCTTCCGCTGGGTTGGAACAATATTCATCAGGATTGCCTTCATGCAAAGCTTCAACATCTACAGTGCCTGTCTATGAGCAGTCTGATCAAAGAGCAGTCATAGCATCCATGTACTTCGAGGTTGCATATAGGGAAAAACTAGATTATATGCCAGCTTGCTCCCCTTAAAGAGCAGTTGTATTCTTGTCTAGTTATAAAATCAGGGGGAGAGCCTAGAAAAGAATCATTTCTCTGTTTTAGGCATAGGATTTGTCATTGATAGCGAATATTATTTACTTGCAATATTTGTTATGTATTTCTTTTTAAGGTCTTAGAGCAATAGTGTTATAACATACAATAGGCTTTCCTTGAGGAAAGTATACCCGTATTTGCTTTTCATTTGGAAATTCCTTCCCCAGAGTTTTAGGCCCTCTATCATGTGTTACTGTGTGCATTTTTCAACTCTGCTTCCTGTCACTTAGCTGACCTTTTCATCTGCACTCAGCTCACGCTCTCCACTTCAACCACAGCACAGTCCATAAATGTTCGTTGAGTAAGTGAATGTAAGTCAGACAAACCCTCTATCCCTCTACTACTTCTACTACAAAGCCTTTGCAGTATGCTATTCATTGGTCCAGAAATTGTCTCCCAGTTGCTCCCAACATGTATTTCCCTTTCTGTCTTATAATGCAGCAATAGTCATCTCTTTCCTGGCATCTTCCTAAACTCTATCTACTTGGTTTGGCTTTATAGTCAGTCTCTCTTAAAATCCCCTTAATGCATTTCTCTGAGATGAAGATGCTGAGGTTCTATGGTGTGCTTCTATTTCTTTGCCTTGTTTTCCCATTAGATTATTAGTTCGTTGAGGCTGAGGATGAGCTGTTAGTCCCAATAAGTTGCATTCCTAATGACTCTTTCCAAATGACTTAATGCCACCATGACTATTCTTCATGACTTGCTTCTCTCTGGTGTTGTGGCTTTATAAGGCTCAGTTCCCTGTGTGATCAGCTAATGAAATCAAGTAACCTTCCAGGAAGCCAGCTAGGGTAGTTTGTGACTGCTCTCTTTAAGCAGAATGTGGCTGCAGGGAACAGTTGCAGTGGCAGTAAACTATAGTGCCTGGGAAGTTAATGTTTCAACATAAAACATCTACGTTTGATAATTATGTAAACCTGTCATCATGTAAATAAAGAAAACATGCCTCAAAGTCAGGCTATTCCTAACTAGCCTTAACTTGGTGTGTCTGATTCCCGTTGTGCCTTAGCCTCGTGAGCAAAGTCACTCTATTAAGCAAGGAAGATCAAGTTCCCACTTAGCTCCTCGTCTGTAATTTTTACTGATATGACCATGATATGACAGAAAAAAACGAGTCAGACTATTTGATTTCAAGTCCTGACTGTCACTTGGTTTCATAACTTTGGGCAAGGTCATTTCCCTCCTGTGGGTCTCAGATCCATCTGTAAAACAAATAATAAATATCTCATTGGATTTTTTGTGACAATGAAAAGAGATTAATGTATATGAAGATGCTTTATAAACTGCAAAGTGCTCTAAAAATGTGAAGAATTATTATGGTCACTTTGGAACCAGCCTGAAGAAATGGTATAGAACACTACTGCCTTTCAGATTGGTAACAACCTGCAGACATGAAGAGAGCCACCCTGTGCACTCAGGCAGCTCCTTCTGCTAGCCCCAGGTTCCATACAGAGCTGGCCCAATGAGCACCCCTAAGTGGAGCCAATGCCTTTGAATGGGACCTAGGGGCTCAGGTGCAGGGTATGGGGCCAGTACATTCCCACTGGCAATGAAGATAATGACTAGAACCCCTGACAGAGGTGAGAGCTGCCTCCTACCACTTGGATGCTCTTCTTGGATATCTTAAATAATTTTGTTGGTTTCCATTCCTCATCATCCCCATCGTCGATATCACCATCCTCAGGCTCATTCACAGAATGCTCAGAACAGTATTTTAGATCATCGATGTCCATGCTCTGCTCCAGTAACTTTTCTTTAAAACGGGAAGGTCTTGGCTAAGAACAAAGGTTTGGAATGGTTAATTAAAAAACAAACAAACATGTGGATCATATCTTCACAGTAGCTGTTGCCAGCTATATTCTCAGAGCAGAGATTTCAGACTCCCTCAAATATACCCCACTTGGCTTTACCAATCAGAAGAAATTCTGTTTCCACCTTGGGCTGGGCCTTGCAGAGTCTTTAAAAAGACAGAAACTGCAGGGAAAGAGACTGAGTAATCTGAGGGAGGAAGGAGGGACTCATGATCTGGTATCTTTGGATGGACAGCTGAGTACTGCTCTTTTCTTTTGCTCCTCCTCCTCCTCAGCTGTGGTACATGTCTGTACATGACCAAGAGTTCATCTTCCAGGGAGGGAGAAGGTCTATTTTCCTCAAGATTGTACTAGAGTTTTATCTGGGAGTCCAAGGAAAATCGAGATGCTGGAATTTGGAAATTTTACTTCTCAACCTCTTCTAAAAGGCAATTTTAGCACACTCCAAACCTTGGCTATTTGAAGGTATCATAGGCACTGAGTTTACCTTAGGTGGGATATATTCGAAAGAAGAGTCTGGAGATAGAAGGGTATCCTTAGGAAGATGTGGTTTCTTTTTGCTGGCTACTTGGAGGAGAGTCAGTTTCTATTTGAAAAGAAGAGACAAAGTATATATTGCAGGGCAGCTTCTGAGAATGCTCATGGCTCAAACATAAAGATTCTAAGCTAGTTCAATTTTAAAGCATATTAAAGTGAAGCAGGGTAATAGTAAAGTAGGTTTAAAGACTCCCACTTTACAAGATCAGGGTTAGATTCTGAAAAGAGCAAATTAAAAAATGTGTGTTTATACCATTTTGAAATGCACATGACTATATCACATGAAAACTCAATGTCGATCTCATGAAGTACAGCCAAGTCATCATACTCAGGCTTGCTCCCAAGGGTTGACAACAGGGTCTCCTAGGGCTTGTTCAGTGGGTGAAAGGCTGTATTACCTGCTTTATGATTTCATTCTCTCGGAGAAGCTGCTTATTTTGTTCACATACTTCGCGCATCTTCTCAAGTTCTTCTTCCTATTTCCAGAGAGTGCAGAGATCGGTGGGATTATTTTGGACACTACATGTGGGTTACCAAACAACTCACAGAGATGAAAACATACTGCTGCCAAGTTGCTGGCAGCAGATGGTTTTTGCACAGCAGGCACTGGCACCCAGAAAAAGGCCTGATTCCTATCAGTTCCTAGGAGTCCTGAATGCCACTTCTATTCCAACACTCCCAAGCAGCCCTGACAGCCATCACAGAAACCATGGGCTCTGCCCTACAAACTTTTCTACTCTTTTCCATTCTCCAGCCTCACATTCCTTATTCACATCAGGATGCTGATTAAGAAACTCATGTGGACAGCTCTGTTTCTCTGAAGTCACAGGTTCTTTTGTTCATCCTTTTCAACACAGACTAGGCAGTTTATTTGCTACTCTAATAATAAGCCCGATTAAACTTCCTGGCATTTAAGACATCAAGATTCATGCATACGACCTTAACTAGTTTGATTTTATCTTCAATGGGAGGTACCAAGGAAATGCTAGAAACCGGTGGTTCAGGAAAAAGATTCTGAGTTGGATAAAATAGTGCTCCAACATGCTACTAAAGGGTGTGGTGCTCCTAGCCTCTGCAGGAAATTTAGACCACAGACATTTTATAGATGTCAGGTCTCAGCTCAGATAAACAGACTCAGGAAGAGACAGCTGGATGCCCCTAGGATTCTACTGGATGATTTAACTATCTCAACTGTTTAGAGCTTAGGGTTGAGGCAAAAAACCAGAAGGCCTCAGAGTCTCACATGGAGTATGCACTGTCATTTCTGTACCAAAAAGGAGGTTATTCTATGTGTGGCTACATTCTAAATACCCTTACATTGATTAACTAGGGCCAAAAAGTAGTAGAGGCTGCTCTTATCAACCCTTTTCAGAACCTAATTTACTCTCTGCTGTAAGTACAATAGTCTAAATCAATTCTGTCAGGCCCGCAGAACCCATCTCTGGAAACCTTTGCCTCATTATACCTGACATTTCAGTGTGCTCCGCAGCTGTTGTTCCTTTTCACTGACTGACACTTCTAGCTGCTTCTCTGCCATTTGGCTTTGCTGCAGCTGACTGAGAAGGTACAGCACCTAGAGAAAGATACAACCCAATGGGATCAAAGAAATAGACAAAAAAGGAAATCAGGCTCAGTCCAAGCAGTGATCAGATGACTCTTCTGTGATTTAGCAATGAACTGTTCTCGCTCTCTCTTTTTTTTTTAATCCTCACCTGAGGATATTTTTTTTTTATTGCTTTTTAGAGAGAGGAAGGGAGAGTGAGAGAGAGAGAGAGAGAGAGAGAGAGAGA